CAGCCCTTGGGAAGGCCTTGGACCCTTGAACAAGGTGGGGGTGGGTGCAGGAAGGATCAGGCCCTTCCTCCAGATCTGTCGGGGTGGTGCCCATTGCCGTGGCCTCGGGGCATGTAGAGCCTCCTCTCTCTTCTTCACAGCACAAGGAAGCCTCATAGCTGGGGGTTGGTGCTGGGGGAGAGCATTGAGATGTCCCTCACCCTTCTCTGCAGATGGCACTGAGGGGACAACAGAGCATCAGGGGCAGGCTGGGAGGATCCAACTGCCCCCAGCTCCAAATAAGCCCCTTCATGCCACTGCCTCTCAGCACCCAAAGCAAGAGAGCCCCAATCCTCCCGGTCCCCAGCACCATCCATCATGTCCTCAGGGTGGCTTCAGAGCCCATCAGGAGCTGGCGTTGGTCCTGGAGGGGGGAGCTGGGGCGTGTGGGGACTCACTGGTGCTGCGGGAGCGTGTCCCCGTGAGGACAGACAGACCTGGGGACACATGACAATACGGGAGGGTGCCTGTGCGCATGAGACGGTGTTTGCACGTTGGTGGCCGCAGATCACCCCCTCCCTGGGATGGCCAGATGGGAAAAGGCCATTGCCCAGGGCCAGGCTTTGCTGCTGGTGGCCCAGGCTGTCCCCTCTGCTTGAAGGACAGCTGTGCCAGAGGCACATCAAGGGGAAGGTCCCTGCTGGGGCCAAGAAAGGCATCGTGCAAGGCTTGCAGGATACCTAACATGTCATCACCTTCAGGGCCAGGCCATGGCACAGCCGTGGAACTGCATCTCCAAACTGCCCATCCCCATAGTCCAGTGGCAGGGACACCCAGCAGCTCCTAGGCTGGTGGCACAGAGCTGAGGGCAGAAGGAGGAACAGCAGGAGGCCTTTGCTCGCTGGCATGGTAGGGTTTGAAGGGCGTAAAGCACTCTGGCCATCAGACAGACAAGGAGCTGGGTAGACCTTGGTGTCAGTCGTAGTGGGCAACTCACCTTGTGGCCTCCTAGACTAACACACATGAAAGCAATTAATCCACTGCATGCTCCTCGCTGCCCTACCAGCACGTGGGAGCCCCTTGCCTGGCTCCTGGCCTCATCCGACCTCTCTCCTGGTCTTCTCACACCCATCTCCTGGCAGGTGCTGTCCCTGGGTGCTGATGTCCTTCCCGAGTACAAGCTGCAGGCGCCACGCATCCACCGATGGACCATCCTGCACTACAGCCCCTTCAAGGCCGTGTGGGACTGGCTCATCCTTCTGCTGGTCATCTACACCGCTGTCTTCACCCCCTACTCGGCCGCCTTCCTGCTCAACGAGGAGCCGGTGGAGGAGAAGCACTGGGACTGCAGCTACTCCTGTGACCCTCTCAACATCATTGACCTCATCGTGGACATCATGTTCATTGTGGACATTGTCATCAACTTCCGTACCACCTACGTCAACATCAACGACGAGGTGGTGAGCCACCCTGGCAAGATTGCCATCCACTACTTCAAGGGCTGGTTCCTCATTGATATGGTTGCTGCCATCCCCTTTGACCTGCTCATCTTCCGGTCCGGCTCCGATGAGGTACAGGCAGGGCCTGGGGGTCCACCAGGATGGGAGGGGACTCATGGCTGGGTGGGGTGAGATGTATGGGAGAGGAAGAGAGGGATATGGATGGCTTGATGTGAGCAGTGGATGGTTGGATCTGCAAGGAGAGGGGTGGTGAGTCAGAGGGATGGACAAGAATGTCATTATGGGTGTTTATTAAGCAGTTGGGCCCTGGGCTTTTACTGAGTAGGGCCAGAGAGCCACACAGACCCTACTGGACGTGCTAAGATAGTGTCTAATGGGACCCACTCCCCTTGCTGGGGCTGACCCAGCAGAGCAGGGTGGGAGCTCAGTTTAGGGACTGGCCCCATGTGCCACTGAGGTTGAATTTGGCGCCGCGTTGCCAGCCAGACTCAATGTTGGCAACAGGATGGCCCCTGTGGTTACTGTTCTAGCTGGAGGCCCCACCTTGGCTGAGAGCCAGTGGGGTGGGCTGGAAGGAAACATGGGATTGGCCTTGGCGCCTTGCTCACCTGTAATCCCAGGGCTTGTTCCCTCTATGGTGAGTGGAGGGAAACTGCCCTTTCTGTGGCAAGATTCAGCTAACCTACTCCAGATGTCACCTCCAGGACAAGGCGATTCATGCTCTAGAAATGCATTTTTAGCCTTCAAAGGGAGCACGGCTCGGCTGGAGACACGCCTTTGGCCGGCTGTATCTCCTGCTGGTCCCTGAGGTTTCTCACCTCTCCCCTGCAGACCACCACCCTGATCGGCCTCCTGAAGACCGCCCGGTTGCTGCGCCTGGTCCGCGTGGCCCGCAAGCTGGACCGCTACTCCGAGTACGGGGCAGCCGTGCTCTTCCTGCTCATGTGCACCTTCGCCCTCATCGCCCACTGGCTGGCCTGCATCTGGTACGCCATCGGCAACGTGGAGCGGCCCTACATGGAGCACAAGATCGGCTGGCTGGACAATCTGGGTGACCAGATCGGCAAGCGCTACAACGACAGCGACCTCTCCTCTGGCCCATCCATCAAGGATAAATATGTCACTGCCCTCTACTTCACCTTCAGCAGCCTCACCAGCGTGGGCTTCGGCAACGTCTCACCCAACACCAACTCTGAGAAGATCTTCTCTATCTGCGTCATGCTGATTGGCTGTGAGTGCCTGCCCCCGTCCCGCTGTCCCCATCCCTGCCTCGGAGGTGGGAGGGGGTGCTCTGGGGGGAAACAAGGAGGGACCCACCAGGCTGTAGCATGTGGGGATGTGAGAGAGCTCCTCCCTCTGCCTGTGCCTCTTCTGCACCGACAAACGGATGGAGGGAGAGGTAGAACTGCAGAACTCAGAAACCCACTGGTTTCAGGTCCATGGTAGAGATGGGCTTTGGAAACCTGCTGGTTCCATGGCCTAGGCAGCTGGATGTGCATCTCCCCATGTCCTGCTGAGTCCTGCCCTCTCGTTGCAGCTCTGATGTACGCCAGCATCTTCGGCAACGTCTCGGCCATCATCCAGCGGCTGTACTCGGGCACTGCCCGCTACCACACGCAGATGCTGCGGGTCAAGGAGTTCATCCGCTTCCACCAGATCCCCAACCCCCTGCGCCAGCGCCTGGAGGAGTATTTCCAGCACGCCTGGTCCTACACCAACGGCATCGACATGAATGCAGTGAGTACGGGGAGGGGAGGGCCCAGGCTGGGGAGTGCCCGTGTCCTCACAGCACCTCGTCCTGAATGACCTGGAGTCTAGCTCTGGGTCCACCCAAACATTTCCATCATTCCAACCAGGGTAGAGAGGAGGCAGGAGAAGACTTGGGAGGCTGGAAACAGAGTCTGTCTGCACATCTGCCTCCTGCACCTCCCTTTCTCCT